GCACTCATTATACCAGATGGTTCTATTTCTGAGTATTTTATTGCTATATATATTATTGTTATTGATGCATTTTTGTCTAAGGTGACGTTTTTTCCCCTCTTCTAGTCATATTTACATCGTTACGTGGATCAGTTCAAACAAAATCATGAGCGATGCGTGGATGTAAGAACTTGTATCTGGCATTAAAATAAATGCACCGGCGTAAGAAGCATAAAATGAGGCTCTCAAATGCAAAGGAGCACAAAGTAGTCTCAACTGGAAATATGCAAGTACAGTGCATGCATGCCTGGATTAACCTACAGGGGGCCCAGGGGCTGCAGGGCCACTGTTAACTAAATACAGCTGTCAAATAAATGTAGTGCCGTACTAAAAAGTCCAGTGTTTCCCTGCAGCGGATGAGCAGAATAAAGTGAAGTAAAAACAGAGCTGCTCAAGTGAAGCACAAGCACCTCAGAGCTCATACGTTTACAGTAAATACAGAAGCGGGTGTTTGTACTTTGTGATGTTTATTGTGAATTTTTTGCCCCAAGAGGTACAATTGCAGAAACTTTTAGGATTTAGAGTTTTCAGGTTCTTTAACTGATCTTTAAATGAATGAAGTATAGAATATAGTTACTTTCAATCAATGATCATGATCACGCCCGCCGATGGGGGGGACAAACGGGTCTGTTGTTAGAACTGGACCCTCATTGAATTATGGATTTTTTTCCCCAAAGAAGGGCTATTAATGGAAAGAAACAGTGCAATATTTGAGTTAGAAGTTTTAATTTGTTTTTGTCTGAACTGTCCTTAATATCTTTGGAATTGCTCTCCACCCCCACCTCCAACATAAAATGGTTTGGCCTCTGATCAAAAATTTGCTGTCCTTTTAGTGGAAGTTCAGATTTCTAATATCATCTTGTCCCGGGCCCAGGGAAGGCTGTCAGCTGGCCTGATCATGATCGGTGCTGATTTTTGTTCATATTTCTAGTAGGAGTACATGAAGTGGTGAAAGTACTCAGATCTTTCGCTGAAGTAAAAGAAGTAGCACCACAACGTAAAAGAAATGTACATTTTTTTGAGTACATGTTGTAGGAGCCGTGAGTAAATCTGTGTTTTTGTTATAATGTTAAAGAGCAGATTGATTTTTGTTATTTTTTTGGTTCTGATCTTTTTGTTGGACACACTTGATCGGGGGATAGCGGCTCCTGTAGGTGGATGGGGACTGAAGTTCACCTGTGCTTTGTGAGAGGAGGAGAGAGGAGCTGAGTTTGGTCGCCGTATTGTTTGTTGACCACTATTATGTTATGTTGCTTGATTACTTTGATTTGGAGTTTTGTTCATATGAGTTATTGATCTTGTTCTCCTTTAATAAAAGGCTAAACTTATTTCAAACTTATCCCAGTGAATTATTATTTAACAAACAGAACCAGTCTCTCAGCAACACGAGGGCTCGGATGTCGCTACGCATGTAAAATATATTATCAGCAGCAGCACAAGTGTCTAAAGGCAAAGTAATTCATTTGTATTTTATCCCCTTTGCGAAGTGTTTTATATATTATTACTGTTGATGATGGATGAATGCAGCTTTTACTTTAGCGTGAAACCTTTGGAATAGTTTTTTTTGTTTTTAAATCATCACATCTTGAGACGTGTGTGAAATATTTACCTTCAAAAATCCCTGTTACTGTCAAACAAATAGTCAAAAGTACAAAAGTATTAAAGTGGCAGAAACTGTGTTTACACGGATTATGTTCAGTTAAACTCCACTTCATGACAAATGTCCCTGATTATTTATCATTATTCTGCTCAAAAGCATCACAAATCAGCTCTCAGCCACACAATGACTCCTGACTCCCTCCTTCAGCCTCTGGCCCGTCAGCTCTCATTGTGAAGCCTCCAACTTCCAAGAACTGTTGTGGCCATTTGACAACAAAGCACGCGCTTCTCGGGGCGTCTCGGCACGAGGAATGAGTTAATTAATATTGGCTCTTGTTTGGTCTGGTTAATGAATGAGTAAATTATGCACCTCTGGGACACCGCCTCCCCGATCGCTTTAAATTATCCCCCACACCCCTCCACCGACATTGTCCTCCAATTTCCCCACTCTGATCCTGCACTGATGGGGTCCCTGTCACCGACCAGACCAACACACACACACACACACACACACACCAAGGCTACCCCTGCAGTCTCCATCTGTCTGTCTTTGTCCTGCTCCCGTGTGTTTAGTTCATTGTCTCCTGCACATTTATTGACGCCTTTCTTTCCTTTTTTTTCTTTTTCAATTCAACACTTCTGTTCGACCTCGCATCATCAGCTCAGGGTGGCAAATAACTTCCATCCCATTAACTCGTTTGAGAGGGAAGGCTAGTCAAACAAAGCTTGGCCGCAATCTGATCCTCTACACACACACACACACACTAACACACACACACACACACACACACACACACTAACACACTCAGTCCTGTTGGTGTAAAGGGAAAAAAAAAAGATCCATATTATTTGCATTAAAAGCCTCGCACCGTGAAATTCATTTATAATTACAAAGTGGGGTGCTGTGTGTGTTATGCAGATCGGGGACATGTGTGTGGAGGAAATCACACTTGGATTGGTTATTTTGTGATATGCTAACACTGAATGTATGGTGACAGATTGCAATTATCCCGTTATTGTAATTGTCAAAGTCAATTCACTGCAGACTGCGTGCAGGCCGCATGGATTAACACACACATTTCTAGACGTGCTTCTGTATTTGTTTAACCCCAAAGAAGCCAGCTTTAGCAAACACATTGCACCCCGGACGCATGACCTCATCTGGAAGTGATTCCTTTCACATTTTGTTCATTTATCAAACGTGTATCATGTTTTATTTTTCTATCCCTACACAGAACAGACGATGCTAAATTATTTTAGCGCATGGTAAAATTAAAGGAGTTTTCAGTCCAATTAAAGGAAGGTTCTACCAAACCAAAGTGATTTCATGACATCAACTTGCCTGAACAAGTTTCATCACATTGAGTAAAATGCACGACAAACCTGCTAATGATCAGTTAAGATATGTAATGTGAGGTAACCAGGGTTTTACTGTGAATACAAGATGAACTCTCCTTTAAACATTTCAGTTTTTTCCTGTTACAGTAAGCTCTGCTCGTCCTCACGGATCTCCAGCGCCCCCATGTAGTCAACATGGGACGGTGCAGCTTGTGCATGCTTGTAGTGCTGAGTGTCCCTTCACTTGTCAATGATTCTCATTTATGAACCAGAAAAACAAAAAGTAGATTTTCAGTCCGAACAGCACAGCGGTTCATTCCACTGGGGATCAGCTAGAGGGAACACAGTCCTTATATCATCATAATACATGAGACAATGTATGTTGTTTTCTGTCAGTGGCGGAAAGTAACGAATCACATTAATTCAAATATTGTACTCAGGTTTTAGGTATTTGTATTTTACTTGAGTCATTCTATATGATGCGACTTTACACTTTAACTCATGCATACATTTATTTGACAGCTTTAGTTGCTTTTAAGCTGAAGAGCTCACAAAGT